CTGGGATTGGTTCCAGCCTCTTCCCCCACCCTCAAAGGATAAGCAGTACAGAAGAGGGATGGATGGATCTATCGAGGGAAAATGAAAAATATTCAATCAAACCAGCTTCTCAAATATGAGGATTTCTTACTTTTCTCCACCCAGTTCCATTATAAATCCCAAATCAGGCATTTGTTTCAAACCTAAATGCCTCACCCACGCAGGTAGGGCTGTAAAGACAAAGATTGTTTATAGTTTTGCAAATTTAGTGCATCAGTCTGGTTAAGGAAATAAATATGAAACACTAATTGACAGCGCTCCCTTCGCTGCCATGTTTACTTACACCTGAAGTTACTGCTCTCACTGTGAGACCATTAATATAACATCCACTGCTGCAACACTGCTGAGAGTGAAATGTTCAGGCAACGGTGAGCAAATATTCCAAAATTGCTGGAAATTGCTTAACTTGTTGAACTCTTTGAGAGAGGGTCGTCCAACTCAAAACAAATGCACTATTTTTGATCTTTAGAGCCTGACGATGAATTTATATTTTTCACGTTTTCAAGGATTTATACATTGTTGAATGGCTGTTATGAGGGTAGGGAGTCACCACATTTCAAAGTTTTAAACACTTTGCCGGGAGTTACACATAAGCCATTCTTTCTGAAAATGACCACAATGACTGAAAAGATGCACGTCTTATCTAAAGATAAAAAAATAAAGATGTTAGGTCATGCACGCTTTGATAACTTAGTTTATCTGCTGGAAACAGCGGCCTGTGGAAGTTCTGTCTAGAGCCTGGGTCCCTCTGGTTGAACAGAGCATAGTAAAAGGATAATTTGATTTTTATAATTTCCAATAAAGATGTTGAATCTTAGGATCAGATGTTGAACCCGTGTGTAATAGAAAATGTTTTCAGCGTCTGGCAACGTATTATAATTCTTACTATACTTATTTGTATCGTATTGCAGTACGATGTTGAAGACATGTTAGACATCTGTTAGAATTTTGTCCTGTATGAGAAGAATCACGTTTAGAGCTGGGCGGTAAAGAATATTAATATAATATAAATGATTATTGCAGTGTAATTTTGATCAATAGCAGTTTTATAAATGTTTTAGCAAGTGTAAAACACAACCTTCACCCAGGATTGTGATAATTATCGATATAGTCTGATTTTAATATTTTTTGTCCATATCTCTAATCCCTATTCATATTATTTATGGAATGTTCCTCAGTAAATCCAATCAAAAATCTGTTAAAAACAATAATCTGTCTTGAATCAAATCACTGATAATCCAGTGATTCACACCGACTCAGCAGGTTGTTGGTGTATTCATCCAGCGAGCCAAACCACACATTGTTTATCTAATCGCCTCGTTACGTCCTGCTTGAAACGCTAGCAAAACACGTTTGGTCCGAATCCATCACGTTTGGCTCCACGACAAATACACTTGGTGCGCCGGAGGTGTGTTACTCAGTGTTCCTCCCCATGTGTGTCTGGTGAGACACGGCGTGGAACAAAGAGCCCGTCGTCTGAAGCTGGTGTGGCGTTACGCTCACTCAGAGTTCACCTGAAACACTGCACCCATGGCTCCAGGTAACAGGCCCCTGCTGACTGATACCCTGCTAAGATTCTTTGACTTTATCAGGGGAAGAATCTGAACTTTGTGAATGGCAATACACGCAGGTGGTGACACGTCCCTACCCAATTACACAGCCCCTCACATTATTCACATTCGTCAGATCTGTCAAGACTTTCAATGGCAAATTGTCACATTTATACTCAAACGATTAGATCGGCAGTGCAAAGTTCACGTCGTCCGTTTGGTCATTTGGTTTTCCAATTTAAAGAAGTACGTTAGGATTTCTGAGCTGTCCCATCATTGTCTGTGCCGTAAGCAACCCTACAGGTAGCATAGGAGGAAACCTGCTCTGAACAAGCTGTAGCCTTGTGTTTAAGAGGGTAAAAGGTGAATGGTGAACCACAGGCAGTATTTGCGATTGTTAGAAGATGGTAAATAAGACAACCGAGTTTGTCTGAGTTGAAATGAGAGGAGTGATGTCATTCACATGACTCCCCCCCCCCCAACACCGAAAGTGAGAGCTTGATCAGGGTAGACACGGTTAGGTGAGCTCTCAGCCCTTTGTGTGACACCCAACCTTAGCCCCAAGGGTCCTATCCTTGCCATGAAGTCTTACACACACTCACACATTCATGCCCGTCTGTGCTGTGATTCTCATACGCTTATAGATGATGCACAGATAAAAGTGAGATATTTTCTCTCGTCTGCTTATCTTGGCTCGTTGAAGGCTGTGACATGCTGCTTCTCAACTTAAATGTTTGAAGCTGTTTAAATCACATTTTCTCTCCCGCAGCTCTGTTCCTCTGTGAGTACGACACTATATCTTCTTTACCCTCAGACACTTGCCTCAAGTGGCTGAAAGGGCAACATGTAGTAACAGTTCCTGTACCTGACACATCATCTCTGTATCACAACACCTGGCAGGCAGGTCGTCTAGACCATACACCAACTCCTCGCTTTGATTTTTATGCCAAAGACGGCAGCATCCTCTGTAACAACCTTGATGTAATTCACAACTTATGTCGGTGCTTTTGATTTCACATAATGCAGTATTTCTTTGTGTGATTTCTGTAGAATGTCTCAATGTTGGAGGGATTTTAGCCGAAACCATTGTGCATTTCTTTTATTACCTTCAACAAGGAGGTTATTATGCATTTAACTACTGGACCGATTACCATGAAACTTGGTGGAAGGATGCAGTTAGAGAGGAACCCATTTCATCTCTGTGCAGAACAAGGAATATTTTTTCATTTTCTTTAACAGTATGAGATGAAGTTTTTCCACATTTTTGTGAATTTCCCCCAAAAAGCAGAGATCTTTATGAAAAGGGTGAAAATCTGTGACAACCTGGATAATGATCTGAATTTTGCAAATCAAAATAAATATTTTTAGGGGACTGATCTTTCTTGAGTTACTGTGCTGTAATAAAATCTCTTCAGCTGTCAGACAATGGATATTTTGCCTGCGCTTTATGTAAACAGTAATTCACTGGTTCACAAGT